GACTCTGTTTCCTAGTAGGTTTTTTTGTTTTGTTTTGTTTTGTTTTCCTTTCGAAACAGGAGTTACTTGACCCGGCTGGGTGGCAGCACAGAGGCAGGAGGATCTCTAAGTTCGAGGTTAGACTAGTCTATAGAGTTGAGTTCCCGACAGCAAGGGCTACACAGACAAAACTTGTCTCAAAAGAAAACCAAGAGAAGAGAGAGAAGCCGCCTGTGTAGCCTAGATTGGCCTCCAGTTTGTGGTCCTGTCTCAGCCTCAAGAGTGCTGCAGCCACTGTTCCCAGCCACTCCCTCCCTCCCTATTCCCTGGACACCAACTGTGCACCCAGGGTCTTGCGGAGTGCTGGGAATGCAGCTGGAACAGCCCCTGCTCCTGCCCTTCCTGCTACTCCGCATCGCATCCACGGAGCACAGAGTGGCTTGACACCGGTTGCTGCCCATGCTTCACAGCTCCTCTTGTAAACAACCTGCCTGTCTGCGCCACCAGCCTATGGGGCTCTGTCCTGTCACCCCAGAAGGCTCTTGGGCTTTCCGGTCCTAGGGACCAGGCTGCCTGTTCTCTCAGTTCCTCATGAGGTAGCAAGACTTGTTGAACTGACTGAACTGCCTGACAGGATGTGGTGTTTTAATGAGGATGCTGCATTAATCTGACAATTAAGGGCTCTGGTCCCACTGCGCAGTTCTTGAACAGGGGCCATGTGAAAACCGGGACCCTGGCTGGAGGATCAGAGGCTACATGCTTCTCTGAGGTACAGCTACTAGCCATCCCACAAACAGCATAGGGTTGCTCTGGCTTAGACAGCTGAACTGTTGAGGAAAATGGACTCTACTGCACCCTGCCCAATAGATGAACTGTGTTTCAGATTGACACAGAAAGTACCTGGAAAGAAAAAGCATCCAATACCTGCAAGCTCCAGGCTCCCAGGCTCTGGGACAAGGGTTTCTTAGGATTTCCTCACAATGGCCCCATAAAGGCCCCACGGGGCAGGCCTCTCTCCAGGTCTAGTCACACTGCATCTCAAAGGCTTGCCCCAGAACTAGGGGCAAAGCTGGGGTCTGAACCCAGACAGTCTGCATCCAGAGCCATGAAATGATACTTGCTACCCTTTAATCAAAAATGCCTCAAGAAATACCCAAGGGGTGGGGGGAGGGGGCGCGCTACACATGTTTCTGGCATGTGCACACACACACACACACATGCATGCAGAGTTTGATACATGTTATTGAACATCTATTTTGTGCTGAGTTGCCCTACGGATCTATATGGCTAAGGAGGGGCTTCTACCCTCAGACTGTATCTAGGGAGAGGAGTCAGCTAAAACTTCTGGCCCATTTACAAGTGTGGGAAAGGGCTCTGGGGCCCTTGCACAGTTACTGAACACCACTGGCTCTCTCCCCAGGGACTTTTCCATAGCACCAGGTTTCTGCCATCCTAACTGCCGCTTTTTGGAAGGTGGTTCTGGGAATTTTGAAAACCCAAACGCTGACTGCTATTTTTTTTAAGCCTATTAACCCTAAACTTTTCAGAAAACAAACAGAACTGAGTAAGCTGTAGCTGTGGATGTGGCCAGACTGACACCACCACCTCCAACATGCACACTTGCAGGGCTGACCTGGAGAGAGCCTTCTGTAAGCCCTGCTGCAGCAGAGCCGGGCTGTCAATGGGGCAAGGCCAGCCACTACAGACGAGCAGACTCAAACTCTCTACTCACCTATTCACCCGAGCTGAGGCTGGCAAGGCAGGCTAATTACACAGGCAATTACCAGAGCACACAGTTCAGACCCATCACCCAAGTCCAGAGGGACCTGTGGGGGGAGGGAGGGAGGCAGGGAGGGAGGAAGGGAGGCAACCAACCCAGGTCGGGAGTGAGGAAGGATGCCTGAAGCCTGAGGCCTATCTTAAGACCCCAGGCACTCCCCTGCTCCCCCATGAGGTCACAAGTAGGTCACTTCTTCTTACTCCCTTCTTAAATCTCAGAATATGGGCTACTAATTTCTCCCCGTTAAATAACTTCACCGGGATGCTCATTTGAAATTATGCATGCCACGATTCTAAAATCCCTTTCCTGAGATTCCGTGTGATTGACCAGGTAGCTGTGGCTAGGTTCCCCCAGCCAAGCCTCTGCCCTTGTCCGGGCAATAAAAGTTCATCAGACCATGCACCACAGAGCTTGTGCCATCATGGGCCACAGGGCAGTAGGGCCAACTAACCTTCTGAAAAGGGGTAGTCTTGTGTTGGCCCGGCACCCAGTCGGTCTTTAGGACACACCCCCAACCTGGGAGTCTTCACTCTGGGCAGGAGGGGGGGGAAGGAAGCTGACCAAACCCTTGAGTCTCTTATCTTCAGTCCAAAATTCGGGACCCAGTTCCATTTCTGCCCACCCAGCTAGCCCAGGCCCTTTCTCCTCTGCAGACTTCTGCAGCACCAACCACTGTGCAGTTCAGAAGAGGGGAATTCAGGAGACATATGGAGGAAAGTGGGAGCAGGCCTGTATCCATGGCTCTAACTATGGGCAGGTGCTATCAGTAACCTGATTATTTTACAACTAGGGTCAACTTCTCGGGAACTGGGTTCCTGGAGCCTCTGTAGCTGAGCCATTTGCATCTTCCAGGACTCAGAATTCTGGGGCGTGCCTGCTACAGTATTTTCCAGGCCTTTCCTCAGAGCTGTAACTCTATCTCAGCCACTCACTTGAGAAAGAAAGGGAGGAGGATTTACCGAGAATTCAGTGCTAGCGAGGCCATAAGGTCTGATCTGGAGCTCTGGGTATGCAGTTCAGATCATGGTGGGGGTGGGGGGTGGGGATGTTCAAGGATGCTCCTAGGTCAGGCAGGAAACAGACACTCCCGGCTGCCCCCCCACTACTGCCCCCAGGTTTTTGGACAACTGGAAAGAACACCAGTGTGTGCCATTGCTCCAGCCCCGCTCTCAACCTAGCGTATATACAAGGATGCTGGGCACTGGCTTCTGGGTCACCTGTGAGTGAGCCCAGCCAGGTCAGGGAATGCACAGGCCCCGAGCTGCGTGGGGTGAGCATTATGCACATCACTCAGAATATGCCAAGAAAGTGCTGAACCACATTTGACCCCAGCTTAACTACTTTAGTTCACCAGGCACTTACTAATGGAAACTGAAAAACTCTCAGGATCCAAAGCAAGCAAAGGCTCATGCCATGTTGCGATGGTGTTGCATGAAAGAAACGGGAGGGCGAGCCCAGTCGGCTCCTGGACACTTGGGGCTGTACCCCATCAAAGCCCACCTGGCTACCAGAAGAGCTGGTGAGTCTTTCTGAGACACAGCACACACAATTCCACTTCACTCTGGTAGGGAAAAAGAAGCCAGGATCCTCCCATCCTGCCAATCACCCACCAACCACACTTGGAGTATTCCCCCCCAAACACACACACTCACACTCACTCGCTTACCCCCACACGTGCCTGTCAGCTATATTCATGTGCCCGTGTGTGCTCCACTGCCCTTGCCATAGTGGATGCCTAGATGCTGGAGTTAGTGGTTTCCACACCTTCCCACTAGTGTATGAGCTGTTTTTCCAGCATTCCTTACTATGAGACCTCACTGATACCCCAGCTCCTGCCATCAATGGGGATCTGAGCTTCTTGGGCAACGAGGGTTCTTCCAGCCAAAAGGATGGCCAGAGGGGAAGCACTCTGGGCTAACAACCCTCTCTATCTTTCCAAGAAAAGGACTCAGGCTAGACTAAAAAGTTCTTGAGCAACTCAGGGATGGACCAGCTCCCCATTGCCCCAGGGTGGCTGAGGCCCCAGGAAGAAGTTGCTCCAAGCTAGCCTTCTCAGCAGGGAGGTAGGCTGAGGTGCTGTTTGACTTTGCTGGTTGGTAGGAAGGTGCTGAATGGGGCAGAGAGAGCACAAGGAGGTGCTGGCCGCCTTGAAACTACTCGATAGGACAGCCCAGCAGAGGAGCTTGGATTGCATTCAAAGACACATTTGGGTTCAGATGGCTTTCCAATGAAAGGGTAATTTACAACCTGGGGTTAAGCTACTCACTGGGGCCTGGGCCATCAATGGGCCCTTTCCCCCACACCAACCCACAGCTCAGAAGTAGGCATGTTTCAGGGGTCAAAGGCCTGGCTCCACCATCACAGACTCTGCCCACAGGAGTGAGGAAAGCACCAACACTCTCTCCAGGCCCCAACACTGGCGTGCAGTGGGGGAAGGGGGCTTCCAGCTGATTCTGGGATAAGTAGGGCTTTATCTCAAGGGAGAATCTATTTCAGGCCACAGTCCTCAGAAAGAGGGGGAAATCACAGAGTCCAAACACCATTTCAGGTGAAATCAGGAGGTTATTCATCTCCCCTCAGACCAGACAGAAAGAAAAATCAATGTTTTAGAAGGGGAAAGGGTTCCATTTGAATTAATGGGTTTGTGGCTTCTCCATTGATCTGCGCCTCTTCACACTTTCTTTTTGTGCTTTTGTGCTCTTGAGGGAGAGAGGAGGGAGAAGGGAGTTGCAGGGAGGGGGCTCTCGGTAAGGAAAAGGACAGTCTAACCTTAACCTTTCTCCGGGAATAATGCTAATTAGTGAGGTTTAATGAGAACTTCCCCCAGGAAGCTCGGCCTGGCAGAGGAGGTCGGAATCCCGGCAAACGCAGCTCAGAGTGAGAGTAGGGTCACTTCAGAACCCAAGAGACCGGACTAGGAACGCAATTGCTTTCTCCCCCCACACCCGGCCCCGCTCAGCCAGTGTATCCTGCCTGGGAGCCCTAGGTGAAGGGCAGCGAGCAGCAGGAGGGCGGAGGTGTAAATCCACCTTAACCCTTGCGCGCGCTCTCCGCAGGCCCCTGCGCGGTGTGTCCCTACACTAGCGGTCCCGAAACCCTTGCTTCTGCTCCGAGGGTGCACACGAGAGGGGCTGTCGGTCCCCTGGTGGAGCGACAGGAGCCTGCCAAAGTGGGCTCAACTGTGCAAACCGCGTCTCAACTCCCCGCACCGTGGCAAGGAGCCCCTCCCTGCCACTGTACGCTTCCCGTCCCCACATCCCCAAACATAGTCCACTTCCTTTCTCCCGGAGGCAGCGGCCACCGGAGTCCGGCCCCCGCCCCGCTGCCCGCGAACGTCTTCCTCCCGGGGACGCGGTGCGGAGCCCGCTGCAAACGGCGTGGCCGCGGCACAATACCGCGGCGCGGCGCGGCGCACACAATCACCGCCCCCCAGGACCGGCGGCGCGCACGGCCAGGAGTGGGGTGCGCCCGGCAGCTCCGGGCACTTGAGGCTAGGCGCACCTCTCGGCACCCCGCAGGCCGCGGAGCGCAGCCTCCGCCCCTCCCCGCTCTCGGGCACACTCGCCCGACCCCAGCCCCAGTCCACTCCACCCCGGGCCAGCAGCTCGCCTGGCGCAGGAAGCTCCCCGTGAGTCCCCCTCCTCGGAACCCCCCAGCTCCCCTAACCGCAGCTCAACGGCCAGCGGCAGGGCAAGAAGAGGGGGCGGCGGCCGAGGGCCCAGGATCAGTCCGGTCGCGGGGTCCCCCAGGACTCCGTACCTGGGCCGGCGGCGAGGCGCAGACCGGCGGTCTGGCTCTGGGAGTGAACCGGGCGGGAGGCGGTGACAGCCCCACCGCTCCAGCTGCTGCTGCTGCTGCTACTGCTGCTGCCGCCGCGGCCGCCCGGGGAGAGGGGCTGGCACCGCTGCGGCGCGTCACTGCCCGGCCCGGGGGCGGGGGTGGCCAGGGGGAGGGCCCAGGCGAGCGGCGGCGGCGGCAGCGCCGCGGCCCGGGAGGAAGGGGGAGGGGGACACCGGGCACGGGGAGGCGGGGGAGGGGGCGGGACCGGGCACGGGGCGGGGGCCGGGGGAGGGGAGCGCCGGAGGACGCACTCAGGGGGAGTAGGAGGAGCAGCAGGAGGAGGAGGTGGAGGGGCGGGCGAGAGGGAAGGGTAGGCATGGGGGGGAGGGGGAAGAGAGGAAAAGGAGGCACCCAGGGAAGAGGGGAGAGGAGAAAGGAGAGTGGGGGGGGGGAGAAGAGGAGGAAGGAGGGCTTGCTGGGCCAGGTATGAGGACCAGGGCGCGCTGGACGCGCTGCCGTGCACTACTGGGTAGAGCTCTCTTAAGCGAGAAGAGCCTCGAGGAAGATCCCAGGGGGCGTGCAGCCCAGGAAAGGAGGCGATGGGAGCTGGGCTGGCCCCTGGCTCCCAGAGGCTGCGGACTTCAAGTCTTGGGGCGGGGTGGGGGCGTACCCTGCAAGCTGTCTGCGTTCAGGCCAGGAGAGGGAGACTTGGCCCAAAGAAAGTGACTAAGGCAGGCATCGTCGGGAACTCTTGGTGCCATGGGGCCTCCAGATAGCCTTCGACCTTATGCGTCTCTCAATCCCGGGCGACGCGGGTGCTCGTCGGGTAGGGTTGAGGAACCCAAGGATTCAGCCCTAGTTGGTCTTAGTAGGACCCTGACAAGGAAAAGCCAGGCACGTGGTCGACTCTTGGTCAGGCCCCCGCCCACACCCCAGGGCCCCCTTTTCTCGATCAAGTTCAAGCTTGAGCTCCTCGGCACCCTACCCACGGGCCGCCTCCTCCCCTCCCCTCCCCTCCCCTCGCCTCCTCTCTATTCCGCACCATCTCGCCTCTCACTCTTCCTTTGTCTCTTTCCCACCACTTAGTTTGCACCCGCCTCTGCACCCCTCCTCTCCGCCCCGCCGTCAGCTCCAGTGTCCAGGCTGCGCTCACCTGTTCGACCCAAACATTCCGGCGACCCGGAGCGCCCGCCGCCCGCTCGCTCCCGGCTCCCTCTGAAGGCCCCCGCCCCACTCCGCGGGTCATTGTGCTCCAGCCGACCACACGGTGCCGGCTCCTTACGGCGCTCTGGCTACAGTTGTAAAGTCATCGCATAATATCAAGAATGCTGCCCAGACCTGGGCGCGCACAGTACTCAGGGACTCAGCAGGAAAAGGAAGACGCACGACCCAAGGTGAGATCCTCCACAGGGCAAACAGACCTTCCGCCTCGGCTTCAGGAGAAGATAGAATAGGGCAACGCGAGGTGGCAGAGGGATACCCTGAACCTCCGGGCAACCTCAGCTCTCCTGCGACCTAATAAGCTATCTCCTTACAGCAGAATTAAAACATCGGTAGAGAAAAATGGGTTAGGGGCGAATGCCCCCCAGAACTCCCCACCACCAAGTCCAAAAAGCAGGTTAGGATACATGGGCCTCAAATAAAGCTTTTGCTTTAACAAGGATAGCGAGAGAGACGTTAGTGTAATTCTGTGGGGAGATGCCCCGCCCCCAAAAGAAACCCAATAACGAGCCCACCTCCTGGTTCCTCTGAGGAGGAAGGGCAATTTTTACAGATTCCTTTACAACTCATTAACAGTGGACCCAGCAGAGGATAGCAAACGAGACAGCCACCGCGATTATTTGTAATTTTGAAACAGACTGCCTTTAACCCTCCAACTTTTCTTTAAAAAGCCCCTTTCTTTCTTCCTCTGAAAGCTTTTCATTGTGAACAATCTATGATAGACAAGACTCCCTCTACAGGTTTGATCTGTAATTACAACCACAGGTTCGGAGCTCCCTGTTGACGGATTAGAAAAGATGACAACACTTCAAATTAACAGCACATAGACTTCATTCTGCACACGCTAAAGATTTTACTGTCAATATGAAACTGACGCTTAGAAAAGAGGGATTTAGGCGTGTTGCTCATTAGCGCCTTTTACTCCTGAAATTAAATGTGTTTTCAAATCAATTCACCAATAATTCACTTCTCCTACTTTCTCTGTTAGACCTTTACTTCTCATCCACTGGGGTGTGGGAGTCTGGGGTCACAACTCTATTCAGTCCATCTAGGGCAATGTGGGCGTTTCCAACACAGAAGCTGTCCTTCGTTGCTCTGAATGAGATAATTTGGGCTCAGGATTTCCTGCCTCTTTCCAACACATTTCTTGAAACCTTTGACCTTGCCTGGCCTGAGTCACTATAGCAGTGGTGGACATCTGGTCTTGAAATATAAAGGCAAAGGCAGCTTAAGTTCAAAGGTGGAATTGAACCCAGATAACCCACCTCTCCTCAGACTAATAAAAGAGAACACTGTAGCTCAGGAGGGCAGGCAGGACTGTCTCCTGAAGGCACCAAGTGTACACTCATTTACCAAGCTCTCAATAAAACATCCCAAGCGCCAGGGCCCACAGACTCAAGGAGCCTGCCAGGCTCTTCTGCATGCCAGGAGCCTCCCAAGCTTTGTCCCCCACAGGGGCTTCCCCTCCTTGAGGAACCCTGAGCTGGTGGTTTTCAGTGTCCTTGTCCCTCTGGCTGTAAAGTGGCCACAGTGTGGGTCTCCACAAGGAATTAGGTGACCTACTTTACTGACCAAGAATTCTCCCAGTTCCCAGTGTGGGGAGGGTTCCACAGCAAGAAAAACAACAACAAAACATGGGTCCTTATTCCTGTCCCCCTTCATGTCAGCTCCAGGCTCAGCAGCAGGCACTCTTGGAAACAGATGTTAGAGGCATCTGCTTTGTGGACCACGCCCCCAAAGCAGAGGCCTGGCCAGGGGACGTGAGGAAGGACAGAAGCTTGGCTCAGCCAGAGTGGACACTGTTCAAGCATCTGAAAGCACTGAGAAGTCAATGATCACCACCAATTACTTGTTAATGACAGAAGGAGACTACCTGCCCACTAGGGTGGTGGAGCATTCACCTTGCCAAGCCATCAAGGCAGCTGCCCGCAGAGGGCAGACCTGACTCTGAGCATCTTCTGGAGATGGTAGAAAACAGCACCAGTGTTGCTTATTCTCTGTGCCAGCCCCCTCCCCCAAAAAAGTTTGAATCTAAAGAAATCCAGAAAGAGGGCTCTTCAAGGACAAGTAGTGTTGGACTATTCAAAAAAACAATCATGGGCTGGGCGTTGGTGGCACACACCTTTAATCCCAGCACTCAGGAGGCAGAGGCAAGTGGATCTCTGTGAGTTTGAGGCCAGCTTGGTCTACAGAGCGAGTTCCAGAACAGCCTCCAAAGCCACAGAGAAACCCTGTCTCAAAAAACAAAAACAACAACAACAAAAAAGACCAATCACGAGTGGGGGTGTGGAACATGCCTGTAATGCTAGCTACAGGAAGCAGGGCAGGAGCATTACTCCCAGTTTGAGGCCAGTCTAGTCTGCATGTCCATGTCAAGATGTCAAGATGCTATCCCCAAAACCAAAATAACAGGGCGGTGGTAGTGCATGCCTTTAATGGGGGGTGGGGGAGCTACCAGGGGCAGGAGGATCTCTTGAATTTGGATCTAGTTCTAGTACAGCCTCCGGGATTGTTAACGCAAAGAAATCCTGTCTTACCCCCCCCCAAAAAAACAAAGACCATTTATTGCCGTAAGTCTAACTATTAGAAATGATGAGGCTAAGGAAAAACCCAGCTAAATGTAACATGTGCATTCCAGTTGGACCCTGGGCATAGGGTACAGGTACAGGTAGAGAGAAAGACAAAGTGAGGACAGAGTGAAGGGAGAAGATGGCTGCGAGGAGGGTCAGCTGCTCTCAAGGAGTAACCCAGCACGCTCCCTGACCCTAGTCAGCAGAGACTGGCAGCTGGGTGAAGACCTTGAGGCAGGGCCTTTCAGGCAGATTCAGCAACTGGTATAAAAGTCCCAGGAGCAGTGGGGATGAGTGTTACTTCAGCAAGGGGGACTAAGGGAGGGTGGGAGATGAGCATGGCAGGGTCATGTGGGGTCATAGAGGAGCAAGTGTGCTGAGCCTGTATACAGCTGAGAGGTATGGGATCTCATCTGGCCTGCTGAGGTGATGCATGCTCAGCTAAGTTTCCAGATCAGGGCAGATGGGGGTTAGAGGACACAAAAGGGGCAGCGGGAGGGCAATAGAACACAAGATGTCCAGCCAAGACTGGAGCCCAGATCTTTGGGAGACACTGGCCTAGCAAGTATGAGACTGGGTTCTCATCCCAAATACCTCAAAATAAACTAAAAGAAAGGATTTAGCCCAATGGGACCAATTCAAGCTCTAACACCACATAAATGTTGGCACCAGGCTTCAGTCTCTGTAGGTCTCATTTCCCCAACTACAAAGTGAATCATAAGATAGTATGTTCAGCCCAGTACTTGACAGAAAGTCTTGTGCTTTGACATTAGAAACCCAAAGGCTGTGATATATCTTGGTTGGTAGAGTACTTATCTAGTATATGTAAGGTCTTGAGTTCACTCTCTAGCACTGTATAAACTGGACATGTCCATAACGCAGCACTCAGAAGGTAGAAGCAGGAAGATCAAGAGTTCAAGGTCATTACTGCCTACATGGCGAGGTCAAGGCTAGACTGGACTAGAGACACTCCATAAAGTGTGTGTGTGTGGAGAGGGGAGCTGGCAAGAAGACTCAGTGGGTAAGAGTGTGTGTTTTCAAGCCTGATGACATCCATTCAATCCCCTGAATCTCTGTGTGAAAGGAGAGAACTCACACATTGCCCTCAATCCCCACACACAAGTACTGTGGTATGCACACCCCCCCAAATAAATGTGGTTTTGTTGTTGTTTAAAAAAATAAAAAACGAACTATGGAGATGGCTCAGTGGATAAAAGTACTGTGCCTAATTTTACGTCACCTTAACACAAGCTAGTGAGTCATCTGAGAGGAGTTATTTTAATTGAGAAAATGCCTCTGTAAGATCAAGTCTTAGGCAAGCCTCTGGGGCATTTTCTTAGTTACCGGTGAGGAGAGCCCAGCTCATTGTGGGTGGAGCCATCTTTGGGCTGGTGGTCCTGGATTCTATAAGAAAGTAGGCTTAGTCAAAAGGCAGTGGTAGCGCCGGTCTTTGGTGGCACACACCTTTAATCCCAGTCCTTGGGAGACAGAGGCAGGTGAATCTCTGTGAGTTCGAGACCAGCCTGGTCTACAAGAGCTAGTTCCAGGACAGCCTCCAAAGCCACAGAGAAACCCTGTCTTGAAAAACAAAAAAACAAAAACAAAAAAACAAGACAAAAAAGCCAGGTGGAGCATGCCTTTAATCCCAGCACCCAAGAGACAGAGGCAGGTGGATCTCTGTGAGATAGAGGCCAGCATGATCTACAGATCAAGTTCCAGGACAACCAAGGGAACACAGAGAAACCCTGTCTCAAAAAAAAAAAAAAAAAAAAAAAAAAAAAAAGCAGGCTGCACAAGCTATGTGGTGTAAGACTATAAGCAGTACCCCTCCATGGCCTTTGCATCAGCTTCTGCCTCCAGGTTCCTGCTCTGTTTGAGTTCCTGCCTTGACTTCCTTCAGTGATGGACCTTACCTGGAAGTGTAAGCAGAATAAACCCTTTCTTCCCCAAAATTAGTTTTGATCATGTTTTTTCATTACAGCAATAGTAACCCTAAGACAAGCACTTATATGAGCATGAGGACTTGAGTTTGGCTCTCGAGTACCCACATAAAAAGCCAGACATGGCTGTACATGCATGCCTGTAATCCTAGAACTGGGAGGTAGGAATTGGAGACACCAGCCTGTCCAAAACCAGTGAGACCCTGTCTCAAGGGAACATGGCAGTGAGCAAGGGACACCTCCATGAACACGCCTGTATTCATGTATTCATGCATGCATGCTGGGGGGGGTGTGCCTTACCTTCTGCTGCCTTTTAATTTTTGGTAATTGTGTGTTTGTTCTGTTTTTTGTTTGTTTGTGTTTTTGTTTTGGTTTGGTTTTTTGTGACAGGGTTTCTCTGTATTGTTTTGGAGGTTGTCCTGTAACTTGCTCTGTAGACCAGGCTGGCCTCGAACTCAAAGAGATCCACCTGCCTGTGCCTCCCGAGTGCTGGGATTAAAGGCATGCACCACCAAGGCCCAGCCTGTTCTGTTTTGACATACGGAAATTTTGCAGTCTTCTAATCAGGGTTAGCTGGGTTTTTTCTTCATGACATTAGAGGTGCTTTTATTCCCAAGTTTTCAGTGTTTTATCATAATTCATCTGAATTCTCTTTTTGAACATTCCACACAATTACTGAAATAGAGGTACAATTTTCTGTTTTTGTTTTTGAGATAGGTCTGAACTCAGCATTTAGCTGGAAGGATAACCCCTAAACTTTGGATCCTCCTGCCTTTACCCCCTGGGTGCTGGGGTTATAGTGTTACCATGCCTGCCGGTTTTTCATGCAATGCTAAGGACTGAACCAGGAGCTTTGTGTGAGGTAGGCAAGCACTCCACCAACTGAGATACAAGCCCAAGCCAAATTTCCTTTTGTTTTCTAAATGGTCTCATTCATATCCATCCCCCCCCACCTCCCCAGATTCTCACTGTATAGCCTCAGCCTGCTAAGTGCTGGGTAACCAAGGCCCCTATGTCTGGTCTCCTCCCCTGTCCTTCCCCTCTCCTCTTCCCTGTCCCCTCAATGTTAAGGACTACAGCCAGCACCTCCTGAAAGTGACAGAAAAGTGCTCTGCTAATGAGCTGTAACTCCAACCCTTTAAAACTATCCTAATTTTTTCCTTATTTTTCAATTTTTGACCAGGTCCACAACTGTGTAGCCCAGGCTGGTCTGAAATTTACAGCTTATTCCTCTGACTTCCAGATGCTGAACTAATACTATCTTTGCTAACACTCTGTAGAGTGCTGCTGCTCGGTGTGCATGAGGCCCTGGATTTGCTTCTCTGCACTACTCAATAAACAAAATTTAGCATCTCACCGTTATCCATTGGTTGGAAATGACATTTTAAAAATAAACTAATGTCCTATATGTTTTTTGTTTTTTGTATGGGGTTTTTTGTTGTTGTTTTTGTTTTGTTTCAAGTTTCTCTGTGTAGCTTTGGCTGTCCTGGAACTCACTCTGTAGACCAGGCTGCCTCAAACTCAAAGATCCACCTGCCTCTGCCTCCTGGCTAATAAACATGGCCAGGAGTCATGTCCCATTGGTTTTGATTTTTGGGGTTTTTTTTTGTTGTTGTTGTTTGGTTTGGTTTCTCTGTAGCTATTTCAAAGGCTGTTCTGGAACTTACTCAATAGACCAGGGTGGCCTTGAACTCACAGAGATCTGCCTGTCTCTGCCTCTGGAGTGCTGGGATTAAAGATGCGTGCCGCCACTGCCTGGCGTCTCATTATTTTTTAATTATGTCTGTTCTTTTGTATTCATCTGTCTTAGGGGACTGGAGAGATGGTTCAATGGTCCTGTTCTTACAGAGGTCCCAGGTATGGCTCCCAGCACCCATCTGGTGGCTCACCATCACCTGTAAATCCCATTGCAATTCTTCTTGCCTCCTCAGGCAGCAGACGCACATGGTGTATCTTCACACAAGTACTTACACATACACATAAAATAAAAAGAATAAATTTTTAAAAGGAATCTGTTAATATCTGATGAGGGGGCTGGAAAGATGGCTCAGCAGTTAAGAGCACTGACTGCTCTTCCCAGGTTCAATTCCCAGCAACCACATGACAACTCACAACTGTCTGTAACTCTAGTTTCAAGGAATCTGGCACCTTCACACAGACAGATATGCAGGTAAAATACAATGAACATAAAATAAAAGTAAATAATTAAAAAAAACTTGTTAAAAAATCTGATAAGGCCAGCACGCACCTCAATCCCCATAAATTCTGCCTGCCTCATAGTGGGGAATAAACCAGTATGGAGACCCCCTGGGTACAGCACCATCATGGGAAAGAAGGGAAGAGTCTTCCGAAGGGTGGGGAGAAGGTCCCTGAAAGGGTCTCTTCTCTGAACCAAAAATGGTGAGAAGTGGGAAATGCCTCATTTTACTCTACTTTGGGTTACAACTGGGGTGGAGGAGTAACTAAGTTAATCTATTTGCTCTTCACAGCAGCCAGTTTGGCTGGCTGCAACCTCCCAGCCAGTTCAGGCCCCTTGCTGAAATCTAGGGGCAGCGGTCCAATGTGCCTCCCCACTCTGCTGGCTTTCCCTGTGAACACACTGAGGAAGCCTGATTGGGGGAAACATTCCCCCAATAGCCACAGACAGCTTACACTTCCATTATTCTCCTTTCCAAAGCGCTTTAAAAAAAAAAAGGTTTATTTATGTATTTTATGTCTATGAGTATCTTGCCGGTATGTATGTATGTGCACTGTGTCTGTGCCTGGATCAGGTCAGAAAAGGGTGAATCCCTTAGAAGTGGAGTTACAGATGATTTGGAGCCACCATGCAGTTGCTGGGAACTAAACATAGTACCTCTGCTGAGAACAGTAAGTGCTCTAAACCACTGAGCCTTTTCTCCAACCCCTTAGTGCCTTGCTTTAAAATGCCCTCAAGTGCCCACTGGTCTTGTCACTCTCCTACTATGAAACCTTCTATAGCTCCCAGCTCCTGTTCTGGTGTCCAAGCTTGTGCAGCACTACTGGCCTAATCTTCTGGTCTTTTTTGAGAACTCTGCTGTGACAGCCACCATAAGACACACCCTCTGGTCTCTGATCTTGCATGTTTTCAAGTATGTGCTCCTTCTACAAACATGTCCAGGAATCATGATCAGTGCAGGTCACACAGTAGGGGATGATGGAGATGAGGTCTGTCTTTGGGTACCTGCAGCCCAGCAGGGAGGAGGACATTAAGCAGATGACCATGTGGCCTCTTGATCTGATGCTGTTCGTAGGAGGTGTATCTATCTGAGTCTGACAGTTATGGGGCCACAAGGAAGGAAGTGGTGTGTCCAGGAGGCCTCTGCTGAGGTGACATGTAAGCCGTGTTGACAGATGCCCGGGGTGGAGAGGCGTTGCTAGGTAGGAAGGTGCACAGACTGTCAACAAAGCCCCATCCACTGTCACCAAGCCTGGACCCTGCTGAACTCAAGAGTGCCAAGGTGACAGACTGGCTCTTAGGTGACAACCTGGCTGGAGGCAGATACCTGTCAATTTTGTCATAGAACGTGGAGCTAACAGTTTTCTACATTATACCTCTTGTCCCTGTCAGATAGCAAACTCGGGGACTGGGGCAGGCCCTTCAGCAACAGAGCGCTTGCATCATGGCACACAGCACTCAGACACCATGGCCCTCACTCCAGTGGAGTCTGGCTTGGTGCTGAATGCAGGCCACATGCTGGGACTCTGCGGAGTGAGTGGAGTGCCCAGGCCTCTTCTCCCTACTTCTCTGGCCCCTTGGGAGAGGCTCTACCCAGCTTAGAGCTTCCACTCCTGTGGGTGTACAGAGAGATGGTTCCTGAAAAACATACCTTAGCCAGGCGTGGTGGTAGGCCTTCAATCCTAGTGCTCAGGAGGCAGGAATACATAGTGAGACCCTGTCTCTAAAACAAAACAGAACCACTGCCGCCCTAGAGTACTCCTAGCAGTGCTGTCCCCATCCGAACGTCACCCGACTTCTGACAGCATAACCCGGTAGGAGAATGACAGTAGCCCACTGTTGCTCCATAGTGAAAGGAACAAACCAATGATGGTGTGTATGGTGATGTTCACAAGCCTGTGTGCAGGACACGGGCTGCAGCTGTCTGCAACAGGCAAAACCCAGTGTGTGCTATTTAAAGTCAGGCTAGTGATCACCTTTGCTTGTAGCAGTGACAAGGAGAGATACAAGGGTCTTTGGCGATATAGACAATGTTGTATCTTGAACCAGATACTGGTTATAGGAAGTGGGCAGTGTATGAAACTGTGAGTTGTCTCCTCTATACTCGTTGGCATATGGGTTGGTACTGACAACATGCATCCATTGAAAGCTTGAGAAAGGCAACAAGCCAAGCCAGCTCCCATGTCCTAGTCATCTAGAGCACTTTGGAACCAATTCCTGCCACCCCACAGCTTCCTACTCAGGCTAGTTGCATAGTCAGCAAACAATAAGGGTGGTGATAATAATGTTCCATGTGCAGGAAGGCTGGAGACTCTGAGAGACGAGGTGACTAAAGTCACCCAGCAGTGAGGAAGCTGGTGGGTAGAGCCATGGGGTAAAAATAGTCACAGAACTGGAAGCAAGGGGCATGCTGGGGTGTAGACCAAAGTTTGGGCCTCTAGGATGCATGAGGAGCTCTGTTAAGGTAGGACTCCTAAGCCTCACCAACTGAGTGAGGAGGACTAGTGACAGTAACAGGAGATGCCAGTCACTGGTGACAGTAAGAGTCCAGCAAAAATCAAGACCCTGTAGTATGGCCCACAGTAGGCTCCAGGACCATGGTAGACTGTCAGACCTGGGCCCTGACGACCTCAGCCTGACCATACACTAAGAACCGTTTTCTTTTCTCTGCTCCTCCTCCAACTCCTCCTTAGGATGCAGGGGATGTGCTTTCACTGACCTGACTTCATGCAGATCACTTAGGCGTTCTGAAATGGAGCCTCAGCCTTCTGCAACTGGCTTCTGGTGTCCCTGCTCTTTCCTTGGATCCTGACCCTCCACCCCCACTTTCTTTCCCGCTTCTCTCTTGTCCCAGCCAGAACGGTCTTTCGATCCAAAGGCAATGCCAAATTCAGATGAAGGCACCCAGGCCATGGCAGGTCCGGTGGCAAAGTCTAACTTACCTGGGACCTGCACAGTCCTTCCCAGTTACACAGGATAAAAAAATAAGAGTCCTCTCTTTTGCAGCCTCTTTTCTGAGTATAGAGGCACCAACATGTCTGGAGTTTGGCCTAGAGGGGCCGCAACATGACTCTGCAGCCTTCTGGGGAAGCTTTTGTTTTGCTGAACTAGCCTTGCACCACTCTCCTGTCACCTTGGATGGGATAAAATGTCAAAGCGTAAGGAAAAGTTGAACAGCATTACCCAGACACCACTGGGTCCTGCAGACCTTGCAGCAGGACCTCCATCCCTCTGGCTTCGGGAATGGAAGAATCCCATACTTTGCTACACAGGCTGTTGGTATTCTTGACTGAGACACAGGGCTTCTGTCTGGGGATGGAGCAGACAGCTGCGAAGCCAACCTCATGTGCCTTCTCTCCAGCGAAGGACTAGTAGGAGACAGTATTCAGAGCCAGGCGCCCCTTGCTTGTTCCGTGTTGTGAGGTGGGAGAAACAGTGTACAGTCCCTAAACTTTCAGATACACTGACAAGGAAGACAGCAAGCTTCCTCAGCGTGGTTCTAGCCAGGTGTGGGTGACACTCATAATCATTTTAACTGACCTCAGCCTGGTGAGGCCTGCAGTGTTTCTTGTGCTCTTGAAGAGTCTGAAGTGACTGCATCCTTCTCCCCCCCAACTTAAGACTCTTTGGGTCCTGTTAGTGGGGAAGAGCAGTGGGGCGGGAAATTGGTGGAGATGAGGAGCTGGTGGGGCTCTGGGCCTTGCCTGGATTTGTCAGTGACATGCCTGTCTGGTGGCAGCCAGCAATGCCCCAGACTCCACCACCCCATTTCCTTTGGAAAAGGGGTTCCACAGTGAAAACCAGGCTCTGATATGTGCTGGGACCCAGTCTAGACCTGCTGCTCCTCCTAGAACACAGAAGCTGCAGCCCTCAGAAGGGGAAAGTAAGGGTAGTAATGTTCAACACCAGAACCACTAGATGCCTTCACTTGCTATATCATTCCTGGCCAAGTCCTGCTCTGCTCTGGTAGCAAGCAGCATGTTAGCACACAGCACTTTGTACCCGGCTGACAAACCCTTCAAGAGCTGTCCTTGCAGGCTTCTCCTCCTCTTCTCATTCCCTCCATCCTACCCCAGGGCCTTTGTACCTGCTGTTTTCTCTGCAACAAAGCCCAGAGGGCTGTCTGGTTCTCACCAGTCAGGGCTTGGCTCACATCTCTTCAGAGATCTCCTCCTCAGAAGCATATCACCTTACTCCATTTGAACTCTCTG